CACCCTTGCGACGTCTGTTTGACATTTCCAATGACTATAATTGCATGATGACTCCACGCCCACTGTGACCTAGTATTTGTACTATATGGAAATTAGGTACAACAGTTATATTTCTATCATAAATGAATCTCTTTTATATTCACTGTGTGTATTGAATATCTTATCATTCTATCATTAACGTCAATTATGCACTTTGTTTCATTACGTAGTCAATTCCGGCTTGGCGACAATGTGCGATTACTATCCTGCTGACCTTGTTTATATGTGTCACGGGCAGTACTGTATTGTGTGAACAGACACAGAATGTAATGTATTGATTACCCGTGTAAACGACACAGCCAGGTATGCTGTTAGGTACTGATCTCTCCAATATACTAATGGAGTCAGATCGATACGATGAAACAACACGGTATCTATTCATCTAGACCTCCCGTGAAATGTCACTTGTCGGAAGATTATACGAAAATATCTAGACAAAAAAATGCACTGGTTTGCCCGATGCACTCGATTGATTGACATGTTGTTAGCTGTAGGTAACGTCAATGACAATACGTTACATTTCAACGGCGACCATACAGCAACAGCTTATCTAGGCTTTATTACTGCAGCTAGCGGGACACTATCTCCACACTTCATCCTCTCGTGTTGAATTCATCAAAAAGCTTTGTTGAATCAAGATTGCAAGTCATGTTGTTCCATTTGAAGATGTCTAGAATTTTGGTGAAAAATTTAGTATATAAAATTAAATTTTAAACAAATTGAATTCGTTTTGGTTGTTAGTACATTTATACCCGACACAAAAGAAAAATAGATTGCAAAATATAATCGGTTAAAATGTGTTACTGGTAGCACTGAAACGTTGATAAGCTTCAGGTCTTTTGACATGAAATGGCAACAACTTTCTAATTTTGGAAGCATACCGAACACGTGTTGCCAACTTCCTTGATGACTTGATGGGCCTACGTGAATCCGTCGAGTAGAATGTATTACACATCTCACGGGTATTACACCTACTCACTTGGAGCTCCTTACAGGATAAGCAGCAATCTCCTAACAGCCTATCATTTAAGCCAAATGACCATCACTGATGACCGAGAGATCGCCCTAACAGTTTGACCTAATGGGCTGCTGACCAGCAAGGCGAGTCGATAATCTGTTGGACAGTACACGCGCTGATTACTACGACACATGCTAGGTTACGCTATAGTCACGTGTTTGATAAGATCCGGTCTGAGCCATTAATGTTTACACCGAGGTGGTAACAGGAGAAGTGGAGACACTGCCCTAGGTTCCTTATATATCTAAAAACTATTGTGCGAGAGAACATCTGATTCGGCATGTATGAATCAAAGGATTTTATTTAAAATTGTTAAAAAAAATACTAGTTCTGTTTATCACGTGACTATGGTTTTAGGGACCATTGGTATATACATAGTGCTTTGTTTGCAACAGTTGCAACCCAGATTGACCTATCAGAACATGACAATGATCACGATTTATGCATATGCAATGGAATCAAGTGGGCTGATAAAGCGTAAAGCGTGTGTATTTCAAAATATATCGATCCATCAATGGCGTAATTGTTACTGTCAGCGTCTGTTACCCGATATATGTTTTATCAAACATGTTTACAGATTTCTAAATATATAAGGTCACTAACAACATGAAAGCGTAAAAAGAAGAAAATATATCGTTCATATAGACAGTGATATTGTACTTGAATATGACATAGAAGCTATATGAATTGTAGGGATATGTCTATGGGTTGCTGCCGTGTAGCGGGGTGATTCATTGTCGTACGAAGTGGGTACTTACCCTGGCGTGCAGACTTCCATCTATCAGCTCGGCCGTCTGCCACAAAACGCCATCTCAGGAAAATTCATATCCCCGCACGAACAACTGAAAATGAGAATATCACTCATATACCCATTGGAGGTATTTGGTGGACGTTTTTGGCGTCTTCTTACCTCTAGAGGGTGTATATATGGTATATATGTTACAATGGAAGATAATTCGGCCAAAAATAAATGAGTTCAATCACTGGAATATATTTATTGGTAAGATTTCTTTCCAAGACATTCCAGAGTATTTGGTATGAAATTAATGCACGGAAGTGATAGTCGGTGAAACAGGTCATTGAACTTGCTCTGTGTCATATCTATTTTATTTATAAATTCATAACAAACGCTTATATAAACAATATGTTGAAGAGGTTTCCATGGGATTTGCCATTATTACGCATGAGCCATGATCTGACTTGTGCGATACATCTAATGGGCGTCTGGTTCGGATCCCGACAGAACTAAGGCGCTACGGCATTGTATATACCACACGCGGGACACGTACTTACATCGCCTATCGAGCGTAACTGTCGGGGCTAGTTATAGGAATTCAAAACTATATACGATGTACATCTATAACGAAGCCGTAAACAAGCTGGTATAGCCATTTACGGTGCTGATGCATGGCTTACTAACGGCAGTCATTGGTAGATGTAGTAGGTGCATGGTTAGGCCGGGATCAGGGTACGGGAGTATATCAGACTTGCTTGGTAGCATAGATCTCGATATTTTATGTAGAGAATTTGGTACACTTGGCATCTTTGTTTCTCCCTTTCTGTATATGTAAGAATAAATGTCGATCATATATAGATATGGGAATATGGAAACCTACTCTAGCATATTCATGATACCGACATAATAGTTAACTCGTTTCCTTCCACGTCCTACCCGAAAATTTGGTAAAACATGCTAGCGAAAACGCAATGTTTTTACAAAATCGTAAAGAGCAGAAAAAAGTATGGCATGTCATGTGTCTACCTTACAAGTTAGCATGTAAGACCTTTAGAGCAATATTGTGCTGTGATTCAACATATGTCAAGGCGGCCAAAGTCATTCAAACTACATTCTAATGGGTTTCTATTGTGACGCAATAATGATAAAAGCCGTTGAGTGTACTCATGTTTCCATCATGCATGTGTGAGAAGGATGTAGAAACTCCACCAAATGTTGTAGATTTCGGGTCAGAACCGAGGCATTCGGCTTTTCTTTTGGATTTTCTTTGCTAACACTTACAGTGTTTATCTTTCCGGCATATCGTTTCAATTAACGTCGTCTAGCTCTAATGCCTGTGACGTTTAAGAATTTGGAATCCTCTACCTTATAAGCTTGACAGTTTTGAAAGCACAACGAACGATCGATTGTAAACAATTGTCTAAATTTGAAAAGACAAGGTATAGTGATTTCTGGATTTCGTTCGAAGCTGCTTTGACATTTTCATTGACCAAAACAGAGTTTCAGGAATTCCGAAAGGGTGGTGCATTACGAGAAACCTGTCACACGGGTTACATGAAGCTGTATCAGAAAAGGTTAGAAATCTGCATTGAGCATCACACTAACCATTGTCCTTTTTTTTACCGTGTTGTTTTGTGTAGCCTTACTGTGTCCATGGGTTGTTACGAATACATCTAACGAATCAACGTTATAAGTGCAGGCGTTGTCTTAAATCAACGTTACAAGAGTAGGCATTGTCGTACATCAACGTTACAAGAGTAGGCGTTGTCGTACATCAACGTTACAAGAGAAGGCGTTGTTTTGCATCAACGTTACAAGAGAAGGTGTTGTCTAACACCAACGTTACAAGAGTAGATGTTGTCTTAAATCAACGTTACAAGAGTAGGACTTGTCGTACATCAATGTTACAAGAGTAGGCGTTGTCGTACATCAACGTAATAAGAGTAGGCGTTGTCGTACATCAACGTTACAAGAGTAGGCGTTGTCGTACATCAACGTTACAAGAGTAGGCGTTGT